GCAGGACGATATCCCAGGAGAAGGGCCACAGAGTGTGCTGGTGCTCGAGTTCTCTGCGGGGATTGGTAGCAGGGCATTGGAACTCGCCGGATACAAACTTGATCATCTGGTTGTCATTGAGAACGATCCTGAGTGCAGGAGACTCAACAAGACGAGATGGCCGGGGGTCGATGTACATCACCAGAGTGACAAAGGGGGAAATTGAGAAACATGAGAAGTGTCCCACGTTGGACCGGAGTGATAGCAGGAGGAGGATCGCCCTGCCAAGGGATCTCAAGACTGCATGCCGATCCGCGCCTGCAGGGCCCAAGGTCCAGGCTCTTTTATAAGTACGTTGAGGTGCTAAGATCTGGCACGGGAGATGGACGTCCGGTCTCCTCTGATGGTCGAAAATGCGGTCGGAGATGAAGAGGATATAAAAGAGATGAGTGAACAGCTTGGATGCCGACCCCTGTACGTTTGTTCCAGCGGGCCTTTCTTGCGTTCGGAGACCACGGCAGTATTGGAGCAATGTGGGATTGGAGGACCATCCCAGTTTCCAGACAAGCCACCATGAGCTGTACAAGGTCATAGATTTAAACGAAGAGCTTGAACCTCTCAACTTGGTATGTGATGAAGAAGGCTGGGTCAGGCCTGCGGCCGAAGTGAGCAAAGGCATACGGCTGCCAACGTTCACAAGGGCTATCCCACACAAGAATCCGCCGAGCGATCCAGCAGGAATAGCTAGCTAGCGGGAAGGCAAGTGCGATTGAGAGGTGGAAAGAAGATCAAATGAAGTATCCACCTCACAGTTGGAGACCTGAGTCCCTCTTCCACAATGCCAAGGGGGATGGAGTAAGCTCAGCGACAGGGTAAGAACGCCCGACGGGACACCCCGCGAGATACACCCTGATGAGCGCCGTCAACAGACAGCAGCTCGAGAAGCCGCTCTGGGCAACAGCTTTCACGCCGTGATAGTGGGCTGCCTGCTAGACCTCTGGCCCTGGAAAAAGCAGACTCGAACGGACCCCAAGGGGGCGAAAGCCAATTGTGGAGAAGTGGCATGAAGAGATGGAGCAAAAAGCCTATGATGGCTTTGGAGAACAGGATGATGCCACGACTCATATCAGCATGAGTGAGCGGAGACCAGGAAAAGGAAGAGGCTTTGCACCAGGTGATGAAGAGTCCCAAAGAAGGAGGAAGGGTTGCGTCTGTCGGAGCAAAATTTTGGAAAGGATGGAGGAACAAGACCCACAGATACTTGAGGAGGATGGAGTGTCGGGGGAGTAATGTTCGCTAGGACCTCCAGGTTGTCTATCGAGGTATTGTGGGAAGAAGGTGAGTCAAAGACTATGGCGAACTATGTCTTAGCTGCTGTCCAGTCCCAAAAGCCACGGTTGAGAGGACAGGTCAAAGGGCCGTGGCAACTTGTTCCCTCGGGGAATAATTAACTGGAACAGCCCGTGAGGGCTACGCTGGAAATGGTAGCGCCCTAGTTTAGCGCAACTTACGACTGTTGCCTTTTGCCGGCTTTTTGCGAATTGGTAAAATGTTCCAGTTGCACCGTCGTGATGTAGTTCTACCGCAGCGTTCCGGCCAATCGGCCACGTTGTTTTTGGCATCACGCTAAGACAGCACAACGAATTTTCCAGTGAAAAAGTGCTCATTTCAGAGCAGACTGGAATCTCCTGCCTGCGTTTGCTGTATCAGCGATGTAGGCCTGATGAAAAGTTAGCAGATTGTTCCCCACGACCTTCCGGACCTTGTGGAAAGAGGTCGCCCTTCACTTGGATCTGGGGCTTTTAACCTCCTCCCATATAGCTTACGATGGGGGGGAGCAACATCGGCATATGCCCAGGGCATGCGTTTTGACCAACTTTTGGCCAAAGGCCGGTGGAAGCATATAGCTACCGCGCGCTTTCACCTCGATCAAGCCCTCCAAGAATATACTGCCTTAATCCTGCCTCCGCGGAGTTGTCAGAAGATTCGCGCCGCTAGCCACAGGCTTGCGGCCGAGTTGGGACGCGTGGAGGAGGGGGCAAGGAGAGCTTGACAGATCGGAGGGCAAACCATTTTCAATCAGAGGGCACTTGACCTAGAAAAGCGCGGCTAGGGTCAAGAGGTGGGCAGAGCAGAGTAGTGCATATATATATATATTTTGTTTGTTTGTTTTGGTGTACAGAGCTCTAGTATGGCTTTGACGACGAAACTGCTCCAACGCCATTGTTGGCTGTGGTGAAGGCCACACTTGAGTTTGACTGGAAAGCTTTGTTGTGCACTTAATCTACCATCATGCAGGCAGTGTCTCTCGTTTTGTCGTGAAATGACATCGGGAAATTAGTTGTCTGTGATGCAAATTTTTGGGACCTCCTTGTCACTTGGCACTCGTTGCCGACTGCCATAAGCAAACTTTTCAAGAGCAGCTTTCTTGGCAGCAAAGCAGAGGCTTTCAGAGACGGCGTTAGAAACATCGTGGTTCGTCTTCAACGCATGTGAGTGCAATTGTGTACCACATCCACCACACAATCCATGACATGTGTGGACTTGTATATTTCTTGGTTGCGAGTTTTGCTTGCCCTTCTATGGATGTTCATTTTAAGGAATCACATGGGTCCAAACAACCAACTGCATAGATTCGAAATAGATAGACCTTCAATTGTGACGGTTTGGCCGTTTTATTTATATAGTTTGACGTCCAAGACGCCGAGTCGCCAAATCAGCTGGACAAGCGCAAACACTAAGTCGAGTCAAAAATGAGGAGATGAGGCGGTGAATTCAGGATTCTTGTTGCACTGACTAACTTGTCGGTTTGATGCCCTTCGTGCAAGTGGATTTGGTTCAAAATGATCCACAGCAACCAGAGCTGCGGCAGATCGACCGATTAGCAGAGTGAGACCTTTAAAGCTCCGATCATCTTCCGCATCCTGTTTGTGGTTACTTCGATAAGGAGGCTCGAGTGAACATCTCAACTTCTATGGAACTTGTCAACAAGGCGAGTGTGTTCGGGTTGGCACCTACTTCTCCAACCATGACAGCATGGCTATGTATATACTGATGTCTCCTTTGAATCGTTTCAGCCCAAACCTCCACAGCCGAACCAGCGATCGGATCTTCGAGCGCCATGGCGGACGTGTTGATGGGTCGATGAGACTCTCAGGCTCGGCTTGTCACAACAGCGAAGGAACATGTCAATGGAAACGAGGCGTTCCCTATTTCTTTTCTTATTCTAAAGTCATGAAACCATAGGTTTCTGAAGATGGTTGATACCTTTCAGCCCATGACTTTAGGAGCCAATATGTCTGCAGGTTTGTCCATGACCGACCCACGACATGGGCCCCTGTGACTTTCAATGTCTATTGACCAGCCGTTTGAAGGGATTGTGGAACCAAGAGAGGCTGCGGACTGGTGAAACACCTTGACCATCCATGTGCCAGACATGCAGATAAAGATATGTGTGGCGTAGGTAAAATCTGCTCTTTGTGGTGTTTGGTTTTTGCCCCTCCCCTTTTGTTCAGCCGAAAGCGCATCGGTGGATTTCCAGCGGTTGGATCCTCGCGTCGAAATTCGGGCCACGGATGCATTGTATGTTATGGTTGGTTTCTGCCCTTCAAACGCACGCACCACGGCCGCTGCACTGTTCCCTGCCTGTCTGACCACTCTCGTGACTTCCAGCATGAGGGTGGCCGCCAACGGCAAATGGGCAAATGACCTGCCTGCCGTGCAACGAGCTGCCCATCCGCATACGGATCATTGTGCTTGAACAACGAAGGCACACAGTCCCACCTGTGCCGCTTTGCCAGGAGTCGCTCATGGCCTTGGACAATTTTGACAGATGAGCCGATCAGCCAATTGCCAGGTGCGACCTGGTTTGGTTTACGTGCTCCGGTAAGATTGACAGGTCAGTTGCGAGGCACCAGAGCGAATACTCGGTAAGCGAAGATAAGGAACATAAGCGTCCAAAAAAAAACAGAAAGGGTCATAAAGGAAAGACTTTTCTTCTTGACTGTGATTGAACTCTTTTGAATCTTCTTCGATTGGCCAGTGCAACGAAGTACAGCCTTAGTGCCTGGTTTCAGGCTTAAATGTTCTTTGTGGTACCACCAGTATCCTGATCTCAGCCGAAGCCTCCAGGACGCAGCTAGAGCTTTGCTGCTGTTTGACGCGTGTCACCTATAGGTTTGATGTGCACAGCACATGGAAAAGTACACAGTCAAAGCGGTGGACCAGAACATGAGGTTTTTGGGGGGGCCGGGGGACGTCACATCAAATCGGCATTGCGAGCGCGGCCACACGACCGGGACGAGACACACACATGACCCGGTGGCATGTCGAGAGACTGAGAGACGGTCTCGGGAGATCTCACCGCACTGCATGAAAGACAAAGGAATCCTCGCGACCCAGGCCGGACAATAGTAAGAGAAGTGTGACTGACCAGGTCATGTAGTAGCAAAAACGTATATGGGCCCTGATCCTTGAGAAGGTTTGATTCACGTTCTATATACTCTTATTTGCGTCGCCCAGCGATTTTGTGACGTCTCTCGAGGGTGATGGAGCTTTGACGCTTTGAAGCGGTGTGTTTACGCTTTCACCGCTGCCGCGGTCCGAAGCCACCGGGCAAAGCCATCGGTCAAAGCCACCGGGCTGTGTCGTGCGGGGCGGCGTCCGTGAGCCACCATGTCGGGCCGTCAGACACTGCATGAGCGCACCTATTACTTTGAAGTAAGGGTGAACTGGGACAAACTCATGCAGATCGATCAGCAGAGTGAGACTCGGTGGTTTGCATTGCTTTGTTTGAGAATTTTTTTAGACGATTTTGGATGCATTTGTGGGAAGACATATTCTTCCAAATGACCGCTCTAAGCGATGGGATGTCAGTTGACTGACCTCACCAGCTCCAGGAGACCTTTAAAGCTCAGATCTTCTTTGAGGCCACCTTGCTGGGCCGCAAGCATCGACCAATTTCTTTAGAAGAGCAGAATGAAATCGAGAAGATCTTCAAACGAGCGACCATCGAGAATTCCATGGCGAAGCCTAAGGAGGATGGATTTCCGGAGATGTCCAAGACCAAGGACGCCGATGGACAGGAAGTGGCCGCGCAACCGTTGAAATTCACCTGGTTGATCCACGGAGAGTTCTCGGAAGAGCTGGAGCTCAGGTACTTTCCCTTTGACACCCAAGACCTAAGCCTCACCTTGCGCTTCGGACAGCCTCTTGGCCTTTCGGGGTCTTCTCGGACTGAAGGATGAGGAGGGGCAAGTCAGCAGATGTCAAGTAGAAGTAGTAGTGAATCTGCAGTGTTTCTTTAGATACGCTTCAGCCAAGAATCAATTTCTACAAGGAAGACCGCCGTCATGTTTGAAGACCACGCACATGTTGATGGCAATTACTCAGGTATGAATCATGGAAGTCTCGCGTAAGAAATAGTCTCACTCAAGTTGTTTGTTCGTCCGAGTTGAGGTGTTCAACCTGGTACCGGTGTATCAAGAAACATGGTTTCGCACCCTTCATTTAACGGGCAGTGAAAAGATTGATGGATGAACACCAATCAAGATTCTTGCTGAGGAAGGTCCCTTCTGTTGGACATACTCTGAGCCAAATGAGGGATATTGCAAAAATAATACAAATCTATCAAAATCTATGGTGTGGGTTGGGCTGTGGTTCCTTTAGTCTGTAAAGGACAACAGGGGCCGACCATGACTATCCCCAATAGCGTCCTTGAGCCACAGATTTTGTCCATAATTATATACTCATATAGAAACATTCCAGAGCAGTCAAGCTTCAACAGCACCAGAAAAAGGGATGCGCGTTCGACTTGATGCGCGTTCCACGACTGCTGCTGTTCCACCCGCTCTTTTCTTCACTCCAACACCAGGCCTTGTCGAGAAGACAAGGCGCAAGTGCGCTTCATTAACAGCCCCAGGTCCAAGGCCGGGCGGGCACCGCGCCGTGCGATCGCCGCTCTTGGTGTCCGACCTCTGAACGAAAGCCGTGTTGTAGAGGTGATCCTAATTGAAGCAACTGGTATACTTTAGACACTTTAGAGTACACTACAACACGGCAGTGACAAGCCGTACTTTAGAGTACACTTTAGAGTACTTTACGGTGACAAGCCGTGTTGTATACCTATTCTTTAGACACTTTAGAGTACAGTTTCAGACTTGTCACTTGTTGCGAGCATACGAGCAAAAGCACACAGGACTGGAGACGTGTTCGGTGTGACAGGTCTTCCTCAACGTCTTCACCTTGAAGAATGCATCGACCGAACCACAGGAGATCCATGTCGACTTCTGGTTCACTAAGCTGCAATACCAGGCAGATGACCAATTCCCACTGATTCAGATTCACTGCAATGTTGGGCGCAAACCAAGGTTCCTAGGCCTAGATTTCAAGAGTGCGTTCCAATGCCCGTTTGTTTCGCGAGACTGAACGAGCTCATCAGTCTGTCAGTGAAACTTGCTGAGTGAAAACGATGCCTTAAATGATTCAATATGACTTCATGGAAATTGGGTGAACCCTCAAATTCATGGTATACCACGGCTTTGGCTTGATGTCCAATGTTTTTACTAGGACCATCAGGCCATTTGTTTGTTGTTTGTTCTCTTTTTGTTCTTTTTGCGTGTTTGTTGTGTGCTGGACGTTTGGCTGCAGGTATTACTTAGTGAACGTGGCGTTGCCGGTCTTCTCCATCGTCATGGCCAGTGGCTCATCCATGACGGTTGATCCGCGAACCGACATGAGCGGACGGCTGGGAGCGACCCTAACGTTGGTTCTGACTGCAGTGGCTTACAAGTACCTCGTGGCACAGATGGCCTCCTGGCCTGCCTTGGGGGCTGGTTGAAGGGGGGTCTCAGGGGGTCTAGGGATCTTGCGGGTAGGTCTAGTTGACAAGGATGGAGTATGGTTTATACTTGGAAGCTGTGGGTGAAAACCGTAAGAGATATGTGCTTGATCAAGTTGCCGCTTTCCCGAGTCACCGTGTTTAGGCCTCAACCAAAGTGAGGTGCCTGCGATTAGCTACAACACGTTGCTGGATCACTACGTCCTCTGGTGCTGGCTCTTCTTGCTACTGATGGTCCTGGAGAATTGTATGGGTATGTTGAAGTGGTGGTACGATGATGAGGTTGTGATCGGAATCATGCTGTGCTGCTCGCCTGAGACTCGTTCAGCGCGGCGCTCGACGGCTAGGCCCTCATCTAAGAGCATGTAATCACAAGCGCGGTTTTCATCTGAGCAGCAGCTCAGGTGGGGCCTTCCTACTCTTTAACCTCATCTTTGGCATCATTTCCTATCGAATCTGGAAGGAGGAAAGCAGTCGCCTCACCCGCCGCGTGCCCTCCACCGCCTCCGCTTACGAGCGCCTCCCCGAATCAGATTCGGAGTTCCCGTGGTGCGGCGTCTGCGAGGAAGAGGAGGCGCACGGCGCTGAGTCGAAGGGGTTGGAGAAGGACGATCCCCTTCGACTCAGCGGTGTGACGAGAGAAGACCTCGCGAGTCCAAGGGGTGGGGAGGATCGTGCCCCCACGACGACGGGGGTGGACCTGCAGGGGCTGCAAGGAGTGGGTCGGACCTTCCGTGTAATGAAACCGTAGCTCTAAAAACCGAGGTGGCTGTCATAGATCATAGGTCAGATGCTGTGTTTTTCTGGACCATTGGCCCTAAATTCTCGGCCGATGGCGGACAGCGCGTCGTCTTGGGGGTCCCAAAGTGGCGGATGCCCGACGCCCAGTTTCGGGTGCCAAAGCTGCATCTTCCCCTCGGGCTGGGATTCTGACTGGTCTAGCGGCAAGAAGTGTGTGGGGACAGAGGGTCGGATGCGGGCTTTGGAAGGTTTTGAAAAGCAGGCACATGGCTGTAAGCAGGCACATGGCGGTGTTTCTCAATAGGGAGACATCCTCGCCCTGGCTGGGTTGACTGGTTTAGTTTCCTGCTTCCAGGTAGTCTGGCTACTTTAATACACACCCACATTGTGCCGTTTGTGATCTTAAAACGAGACTCTGTGGATCTTATCACACGGCCGTGCGAGTCGTGGTTGGCTTTGCTCACAGGCAGTTTGGGATGGTGGTTTGCTGTCCCGCAGCTGTTCTTGAAGGCCAAGACAGGTTGATGGTCCTCCTAGGTCAACTGCAAAACCACTTGGAACCAGCTTTCCTTAGCCACTAGTCACTAGTTGCCAAGATCTGGCCGCCATGACGGTTTCGATGATCCAGGGAGGCCGGATGGTGCTGTTTCAGGTCGTGAGAAAGGATGCAAAAGGAACATCCTCACAAACGGAATTTATATAGTTGCTTGTACTGGTGGTGTCTCATTACCTGGATATAACGTAGAAAGGCCTTTGCTAACCATCATCATGATCATCGTCATCATCATCATCATCATAATCCACTGTTACAGAGAAGAGGATAATGAGGATATACCTAATGTTTGTATAATTGTTGTTGCTATGGTCCATCTACTTCTGATATTTGCCTTTTTCAATGCGGACGCCGTGTTCCAACTTTTAGGTGTTGTTCGACCTCGTTTGTCGCGACGACTTGACCTCGTCACGACTTGATCAATTGCTTGCTTTCTTTGGAAGACGTGTTTGACTCGCTGATCCCGAGTTTTCTTTCAGACTAAACAGCTCTGAAGCAATCACCGATCCTGTTCCTGAGTTGGACTCAACAGCTTCGGTTCTGAAGGACTCACTACAGCTCATCTTTGTTTTCCCTCCATGTGAGGCAGTCGATGTCGAACCCAAGGCCGTGCAGGCGCATGTTGCGTTTACGCTCAGACATGACCAGCGCTCGCTTGGTGTGCACCGGTTCCAGACATGACATGATCCGTGATTTGATATGTATTGATAGGAAAGATCTATGTTTCGGGCCATTGGTTAACGCGCCCCCCAAAGAAGGGGGCCCTCTTTGGGTTTCAAAAATAACATTCTGTCTCAAGGTAGTAGATCGACCTTCTAAGTGTTTTTTTCATGTGTTTTCGTTTCAATCTCAACCGCAGAGTCTTCAGCTCCTCCCTGCGAGGTGGTTCGTCAGCTGAAAAACATGTGGACGGACGGGCCTGTCGGGCACTCAGATGATCTCAGATGGCGATCAATGGATTTACTAGCACAGGACAGCCATCGTTGTATGCGCGCAAGTATTGTTTGATCACATACGGAACGGCGCAGGAACCGCATGAATCCTGAAGTCAAAGAAGGTGAGACACTGCTCTCGGTGTTCCCGAAGACACAGGTGCACTGCATACTGCTGTTTGAAGTCTACTTCGCAGGCACCACCTTGCCCGAGATGCAGAGGTATGAGCCTCATAATTAGTACTCAACTCCTAGAGGGTGGCTGATCTGCCTGCGTTGAAGGGTAGAAAAACATGGCAGCATATGGCAGCTGTGTTTGTTGTTGCAGATCTTTGCTGCTCTTCTGTGGACGTTCATTCAAATAGCTCATGGGCCCCAGCGACCAGCTGTTGGTTTCAGGGAAGCCTTCAAAGGCGGCGGGTCGACCGTCGTATGTTGTCATCCGCAAGCTTGATGACTTCTGTGCAAGTGGTGAAGTGATCCAAAGAGATCATCCAGAGTGTACATCCTTAGATGCTTGGCCTTCAAGAATTCCGACGCTATGTTGGCCTTCATGGTGCTTTGCTCGGAGAATTGATGCAACTTGCCAAAGCGGCAAAGGACAGCTGGCAGTGTGCTGTGCCAGAAAAGGAAGATACATGAAGTCTCTTTGAGGGCTCATGGTGGGTTTTGAGGCAAGCAAGTGGTCGAAAAAAAAACGGTTTGACTGCAGGCAATGAAGCTGTTTGACGCATCCGGTCTGTATTTTCAGTTCAAGGAGGCTCAAAGCAAACGTGTCATCCGAACACACATGCATTCCAGTATGACTACCATACCGATGTCTCCTTTGCAGGCGCGCGGCATTTCATGAGTGGTTTCAGCCTAGGTCCACAACAAGAACCATCCAAGAAAAAACGGATCGGATCCTCGAGCGCCATGGCGGTTGATGATCCACTCAGGCTCGCCTGCCCGGCAGAGGGATTCATCTGACGGTCAACTGTTTTTATGTCTTCGCTGTGGCATGACCCATGCCCCGCCATGACCTGATGACCCATGGTGTGCCGTGTGACTTGCGACACGCCACGGCGTGCCGGTGGGGAGTGTGGAATCAGGGCCTGATCTTTGCATCGTGTCTGTTCGGGCTCAAGCTTGCCCGTCCGAGGTTGAACCAAAGCCCACGGGTGGACTTACTATAGTGAATCCTCATACAGTAAACTTTGCTGTTTGTGGATGGGAGAAATCTCTCAGTCTTTCTGCATTCTTGCTTCCTTGTAGCCAGCACTCTCTACGCACACCTGGACAGAGCTGTGTGCTTGTGAAACTAGCAGCCAGCTGCGACGCGCTTTTCTTTAAGCGTTTTGCCAGACATCAGAGGGCTGAAAGAACTCTTGATCCGCTTGCCTTTGCGTGAGGCGTCAAGTCTTGCCGCTCTGCGGTATAGGCAGTGGTGGGCTTGAGAAAGTGGGCTAGGTGCTTGTTGTCAAGCATTGGCCGGTAGTGATGCTGGGATTCAGATTGTTGACAATTCACAGATTACTCACAGTGTACTGGTTCCTTCTGGTTGTATTTTCTGGGCCTGGCAGATGAACCTTCAGTTTCAATCGTAAGAACTTCTGATGGCAGCTTGTTCAGACAGTGTTGGATGAAGTCATTTCGGGCCACGGATAACGCCTACAAGTTCCCATGATTTCCAAAGACAAGTGGATTGCGTTTCAATTTCAGGTAAGATGAAAGTGGTGGTTTGCATTTGGGTGTTTGAAATCCTGAACATGTTAACTCAAGTCTTGAGCTTTGCTCTGGGAATACGAATGCCAACATCATGTCCTTTCTTCAGACTTGTTGTTTCACTTTGCTTTACCATTCTTTGCTGGCCTTTTCTTTTACAAAGACATCGGTTCCTTCCCTTCCCTTCCCTTCCCTTCCGTTCCGTTCCGTTCCTTTCCTTTCCTTTCCTTTCCTTCGCTGCTCTGCTCCGCTCTTCTCTTCTCCTTTCTTGTGTTGGATTCTGAGCTTGGCCCAGTTGCTTTTGATCATTAGGTGTGTAGCCTCCACGAGGAGTGTTTCTGCTGTGTTTTTGCAGGCCTTTGAACTGCAAGCGCGGGCCTGCGCAGGCAATGTCTCAGGAGGCGGCGTGCAACCGGTTTGCGCAGCGCTTTAAGAAACACAAGCTGTATTTTTTATGAGTTAGATTGTTGTTCATATTTGTGAGTAAGAGCAGGATCATCGCATTGATGATCATGTGCCACCTAGTTACTCTCTGTCTCTGACCAACCAGACAAATTTCCTGAACATCGAATCTTGTCGGTTTGCACTTCAACGCGGTCTGTCAAAAGAAGGAGAGTATGGTATTTTTGAACGGAGTTGAATATGTCAACGGAGAAGTCCAAAGAGTTCACGTCGTTGGTTCATCTCCCCTGACGTCGAGACCGTTGGCGCAGGCAGATCGAGCCGATGCCCGTGACTGCGCAGCCCTCAGATGTGCCTATGGTCTTGGCGTCTGCAGCTGTTGGCGACTGCTCAATGGCTGGAGTTTTAACAGCACATTGTTTGTTGCGTTTTCTGAAAGCTTTGATACGTCTTCATCCACCCCGAGGCAGAAACATCGTCCACGCGGCGCAGAATGGCCGCCTCGGCGCAGTGCGGCACTTCCTCCGTGAGAAGGGCAAAGCCGCGCTGAGCGAGAAGAATCGTTCCGCCTCCGAGATTGAGGGAAGAGGAGTGGAGGAAGAGAATGCGAACTTGCTTTGCGTCAGAGTTTGAAGACAAGCTTAAACCAAAGAATAGAGAAAAGACAAGAGAGTTATTTTGGAAGTACAGGGATCTCTGCTGCAGCTGCATACCTGTGACGCCAGCATTCTCGAGCCTGTCACAGGGACGCGCAAGATATTTACGTGTTCATCATGGTTGCCCTGCTTTGGCGAGCCCCCAGCTCCAAGCCACGAAGCTCCGACGTGCACGCGGGCGAAGCTCGGCGGCGCCCAGGCGTCACGGCCCTCATCGCGGCCGCGGTGAACGGCCGCGGCGACGTGGTGACGCTTCTCATCGCGGAGAACGCCGATGTCGACGCCAGAGGCAACAGCGGCGCGGGGCCTCGGGTCGCGAGACCGCCGCGCGGGAGAGCTGCTAAACACACCATGTTGGACATTGCCAAGGTAGTCTTTTTG